AATCACCGCCTCTTCAATCTCAATAACCTGAGGGCTTGAAAGCTTCGCGATGATCTCTTCTTCTTCGGGGGAGTTCAGATTAGTGATCTCAATTTCAGAGGAAGAAGACGAAGAACAGCAACTCGGGCGAGTCGCGAGAGGAAGGGGCAGAGGCGAAACGGTGGGGCTTACAGATTCTTCGGAGCTCGAGTAAAACAGAGAGGCCCGATGAGCGACCTCAGTGGCGGCGTGGTTGAATCGAACCACAGGATTCTCAGCAACCCCTTGAATCAATTCTGCATCGGTTTTGCTATGATCCGCCATGAATTTACGAACGAGCTTCTCGGCGGAGGAGAAATCGAGGGGTTTCGGGGATTCAGAGGAGGAGTTCTTGCACCAATTGAAAATGGTGGATTTGAGAGCGAGATTCGGGATTACAGAGGAGAAATCCGGCTTCGAACCATCTAATAGGGTCGGCTTGAACCCTAATTCCTTACAAACATGAACACAGGCGGCTTCGAAAGTATGGCCGGAGGAGACGATTACAGGGTCCGCCATTAAAGACCCAGAAATAGGGCAGAGCAATTCCTTGGGAATCTCCTTGAGTCGGGGTTTGGACGGGAATGGGGAAGAAGAAGACCTACTGAAGATCCGCCATTTTCGTCTGGGGCTACTGGTTATCTCTGAAACTGCAACGGACGGAGAATCTCTCTCCAAAACCCATTTGTGTTTAATGGGTCTGTGGATCATAAACTTCATTAAACCCTCTTGAAACTCCATTTTCCGATTCTCGGATTCAGAAATTCAGACGCCGAAAACCCTTATATCGAGGAAGCAAAGAAGGGAGTTGTCAATCAAACGTCTCCATGAATTGTTGCCGAAGCTCCATAATTTCTGCAATGAAACGAAATCAGTTAACAGAAGAGCGCCCTGAGAATGCCGATGAAAACTGGTGTACAGTGGACCAATTCCAACAAAACCGAATCACAGAGAGAAGAGAGAGAGAGAGAGAGAGAATTTTTGGTTTCAGAATATCAGCAGAATCGAGAAAGAGTAAAGCTAAGTGAAGAAGAAATCTGAGTGTTTTGGGATAAAATAGAATATGCTAATTCTGCCATTGAAGAAGCTCGAATTCAGCACAGAAATTTTCATTTAGTTTCTATATTAATATATTTTTAAATATTCGAATGATTTCAAATCATTTAAATTTTGTTGAGTTAAAATAGATAATGGTATGATATACTGTTTTAGCAACCAATGGGGAAGGCAGAGTTTAAATTAAAACGGATTGATATTCTCAATAATATATTATTTTCCATCATATTAGCTATTATCAGATTCAGTTCTATGTTCTAAATAACAATATGTTTCTTTGTTTCTTATTTTTTTTTAATTTCAAAACGATATTTTAAAAGTTGAAAATAATGTGGAATAATTTTTATATGACACGAGAAATTAGTTTATTAAATTTTTTGTGGTATTTATTTTCTATTTATAGTATTGTCCATAATTTGATTGTCACGAGTGGTAACCAACTTGACCTTCTACCAATTTCATGGTAATGCCTACAACAACTAAAAATAGTAAACTTTGAGAAATAATAAAATGGGATAGAATTAGTCTTACGATCTCTAGTTTAACAAACGATAAACATTGAAGTCCTAAATATTTTCCAAAAAAAAAAAAAATCTTTATCGTACATGTCCATAAAATGTCAAGTTCAAACATATTAAAAATTAATGGATATCAATAAACTAGAAGCATTACTTCTCTTTTTTTTTTTGTTTTGTTATGTACTATTTAAAATAATTTTCAAAATTTAAGCCACATTTTAAATGTAATTTTTAAAAATTTGTTTTCATTTTCTAATTTAGCTAAGAATTCATGTCTGTTTGTAAGGACGTTACAAATGAGAAATCAAGCATAATTTTAAGAGTAAAATACTTGTAGGCACTGTTTACTTTCAACCTCTAGTTTATTTTAATTATCATATTTTCATAATGTTCGTTAAACTCTTTTATGTAAAGTCATGATTACACTTAAATAATATTTTAACCTAATTTGTTTAAAAAATCAAAATAATTATCTAATAGATGCAGTGGAATTGAAGACTATTTATCAAGATCATCATCTAATGATCTAAATTACTTGGGATATTTTAAAACAATAATTTAGAGAGAGAGAGGGTAAAATAAGAGTGGTTGGATTGAGAGACACACACTCGTGGTTACAATTTGTTCTTTGGTTTTGTAGTGGAAAAAATGATCTAAAATAAAAGAAAATAAATTGGTAAACTTTTATTTGAATTAATTCCGTGAAGCAACAGAGAAAATAGGGTTAATGATGAGGTGGCATTTTATAATTTGTTGATTTAATTCAGACCAGACCCTTTTGCATGGGAACAGATGTAAAGGCTTAATTTAATGTTGTCTGCTGTCTACTTTGCCCATCTTTAGTGCTCAAAAGTGGAAAAAAGCTTCTTAATATTCTCCATTTTGCATCCTTTATTTTTATTATCATTCAATTATGTATTTAGATTATTTTATGAGGGAGTGGGTATGATAACTTTTTTTGGAAATGTGAACTCAAAGAGGCTAAGGCAACTTTTTAAATTATTGCATCCTTAATTGTTAAGATTGTGAAGCAATGTGAGTTCTAGCCTCTACAATCTCTCCCTTTCTTTTATAAAAGTGATTTTGATTCCACCTTTTTTCTTTCATTGGGTTTCAGAACAAGGGCAAATTAGTAATAGTCACGAGAGCCCCTAAAATTCTTTATTTGTAATTAACTTCTTCATCGAAACTATTTTTGCATAACACTTTTACCTCGTCTCATCTCACAGACCATCAACGGAAAAGAAAAAATTCCATTAAAAATACTTTATTTAAAACAATCCCTCTTATTGATGCAACAATATTCCAATAATAAATGTAAAGAAGATTTAAGAACATTTGCCACAGAACTCTCCTCTTCCAAACCCTAATTCAAATCTCAATGATGATGCTTTTAAACTTTTAAAAAGGGGTTCCTTTGTGCTTTACAAAGTGGCATCCCACTTTTTTGTTTGGGTGTTTGCTAACTTAACTACGCAATGAGATGGGTTTGGCCCTCCCTTCAGATCCCAAACAAAAGTCTTATCTTTGGTTATTTTTCATTTTACATGACTAGATTTACTTAAACTAGATTGTTCATCTTCATGGAAGGCACTTTTTTACAAATTTCATAATGTTGAATAAATAATTTACCCTAAAAAGGATGCAAATAGTACAAATAGTCAAAGGTTAATAAACAATGGGTAGGAATCTTGTTTGAATTTTGTGGGTGTGTGCTAAGATAGCAATAAAATTAACATTTCAAAAGAGATCTTACCAATCCAAGTCAAATGTAGTCCTTTTCAAATGACTTTAAAGTCCCCTTTTTTTTTTCTAAGATAAATTTTGACTCCTCTTGTTAATTGAATATCTAACATGAACTGATAATAAAATCATCTAGAAAACAACCATAAATAATAAAATTTGAAATAAAACTTCCAACTATAGAGTAGCGAGATAACAAAAAATAAAATCTTAAAAGCTAAAACCACCCTATTTCTCCACTAAATCCGGCAATATACCGACCTTACAAAAGTGAGTTTTCTTAAAGGTAAAAAGGTAGAATTTGAGAGCGCAATTAACAACAAATTCAACTTGTTTACGATGCTTGATTAGATTAATGGGCAAAGGTTAGTACCTTTTAACTATTACTGCTTTGTGACTGTCCTGTAAGCCAAAGAAATTAGTCCACACGCCATCAATCCATTCTGCATTGCTACTCTTATCCCTAAGCAGTAAAATAGTGCAACCCATTTTGGCTTTATTATAAATGAAGACTTTTTGTTGAGGCATGGTTGAAAAGTGTAAAAGTAAAAAAAGAAATCCACAAACTTTCTCAGAGGTCCCTATCATTGATGTCGAGGAATCTGATTCTCTAATTCCATTAAGGTCCAATATAACTTTTTTGGTCAATTTGATAGAATAAATACAATATCAAGTTCACATTGAGAGAGAGAGAGAGAGAGAGAGAGAGAGAGAGAGGGGAAAACCTTCATCAGCTAACCACGTTCCTTTGTTATAGAAAATTCCCCTGTTTTCTTCAGATGAAAGCAGCCATGGAAGATCATCAGAAACGTACACTACAACTGGTTGATCTCCTTCTCCTATTCAGATGTTAATAATACATGGATACTAGCCATTGATGCAAACAAGCAAAGATACATGAAGTACCTTATCAGACTTACCAGTCAATGGTGAGGCCAGGCACAATTCCCTTTTCCACAATGCTCTAGTAGCATGAGTAGCATCGGCAGAATCAGAATGATGTCTTCTTGGCCTGTTCTGCTTCCTGGAATGTGACAGAATGCACAAACACAAGTCTTCCCTAAAGGTTCGTGCGCATCGATGTTACTCATGAAGTTATGAGTTTCAGTGCAATATATGTCGTCCATTTGAGTTTTATGAAATTCTCGTCTAACGAAATCTAACACATGTATCACTTAGTGAATTGGGTATAGGTTAACTCCATTCTCAATAAGTACAACGTTCAAAGTTTAATCAATACATGAAGAACAGTATTGGCAAGGCAGAGATCAGAGTATGCACTATACACAATTGATCCCACTGCATAATTTATCCTCAAACTGTTTATACATACAGATAAAAACATCCCTAGAGAGGGACTAATTTCTAAATGGAATAAGTAATCAAGCATGAAGTCAAAATTAGCAATTTAGTTCAATACACTCGTACACTTTTTTGGAAGATAGACATAGAGCTGCAAAACTCTATGCTCGTGCCATTGAGAGTGATGATGGTGGTGGCTGCTTAGAACGGGGCAACATGGCGAGAAGAATCTTTTTCCTTGGTCCCTGTTAATTAATTAAGAATCCTGTGAGTGAGTGTTCAAAATCGAACTTCAATGGAGACAAGCTTATATGATATTAACGTTCAAGTCATATCATTATAACGCACTAGTTAGCAAAGAGAAAACTACTACGTATAATGTACTCTTTATCCAATGATTTGATGGTGGACATAACACATGCTATATGGTACATTGTTCTTTGGAAATACTAATAATTTGATGAATGATGAATGCCACAGGTGAGAAACATTTGCGTAACCAATATAAGTTATAACACAGAAGCCACATTAGGACTATGGTATTATTGATGCTATATCAGTATCCTTCAGGGGCTATTCGGTTTTAGGTTTGCATGAGAACAAGCTATCTAGAATAAGATGTTTGTATTCAATAGTATATAGATCAGAATCTCTAGTAATGATGTATTAATAAGTAAATATAAGTAAAATAAGCCAATAAAGTATGGAAAGAAATTTCAAAGTTGATAAATTTGTATTAAATGATAACTTTAAATTAAGGAAAGTAACACAACTACAACTTTTAATATTAAAAAGTTTAAATCAAGTAATAACTTGGTTACTTAATTTTATAATTGAACTTACTTATATACTACATGAAATAAACTCATTACCTGATTTATCATTTAACTAAAACTAAGTAAAACGAATGAGTAATTATTCAAAATAATTTTAATGTAAATCAAAATTAAGTATAATCAATTTTTTTAGTTGATCAAAATTGGAGTTAAAATTTTAAGTTGTAAAACAATTTTAAGATGAACTGATTTTAATATTATTACAAAAGTAACTTATTAGAACTAAATGTAGCAAATTAATTGAAGTTGAAACTGAGTAATTATGAAATAAACTTATTTTACAGGCCCTCTCTATCTCACATCAATGACCAATCCCCATGAAAAACAAGGAAACTCATAACTTCTACGTTTATTAAGTATAAACTAGCAATAACTAAGACCCTAGAAGTATGACAATTAAGAAGCTCATGGAACATTTAATATTGCACTCCAGGATATTTTGATTAAATCCTAAGGTCATTCACTCAAAGCCCAAACCATTGTCAGCTTGAACTTGATAGTATGACGCTAGTTCTCAACTAACAGGGTTTATGTTTATCATATTCACAATTAGGTAAGTATGCCATACAGGAGTTATTAAGTTTGCATGCCACAAATGTATTTCAATAAGAGTTGGGCAATAGTGCAAGGCGAGGGAAATGGAAATACCATTGGTATCCCCAACTCTTTAAGATCCTTGTCTCCCATCTGTCTCAAAGCTGTCATGTCAATCTGCAAAATATTATTTACAAAGAGTCTAAGTTCACACATAACGTTCACAAGTTAAACAAAAACTTGCTTGTTGTATGTTAAAGAACTTAGACCTTAAAATAGGTTTTAAGTTTTAACTTTCATGAAAATATATACATTTGGCACCCTTAATTCTGAAAGACTGTATACAAGCAGAGATAACTTACTTCTTCAGCCTGAAAATTAATGGCATATTTCCCCAAACCAAGTGAATTCAACAAGCCAGCAACAGAAAAAGAACCCTCCCCCTGTACAACATTCATTAAGATGACTCAGAAACAAAAGGCTCAATTTGGCATCTAAAATATGCTAACTACAAGATTATAAAATCTAATAAACTAAATTGACACTCTAAATTAGACCAATAAGCTGAACAGCCAAAAAGTATACCATTGGGGAACTTCTCTGCATGCTGCCACTTATTGGTGTGAGATCCTTGACCGCCTTTCCAGACACGGGGAGAGCTTTCATTTTCGCAGGGGCAGAGTCTACCGACCTATAAGTATCAGCAACACTGTTCCTAAAAAACCATTCATCTCTTGAACGATCAGCTTCCCTCATAGACGAGGTTCTCCTAAACTCATCATTGTATCTAGGTGGTGAAAGCCCCATGGAGCTTTTCATGATTCCATCTGGGGATCTAACTCTCACTCTATCAACATATGGAACGGTACTTTTCCTCTGTGAATGTACTAGGTATAGGTCATCGGCACTTTCTCTGGAATGCATTTGCCTTACAAGATTGCTCCCTTTAAATTCATGCCTACGGCGTATTATAGCTCCACTAGTTGAGGGCAGATAATTTTTTGATAATTGATGGTGTAGGTCCATCTTCGAGTGTTCTTCCCCATTACCAATTTTCTTGGATTGATTTTTGCGAATCAGTTTCAAGCGAAGATCATTTTGACCAACTCTGTAAGCTTTATTTGAATAAGAACTGAAGTAACTACGAGATCACATAAAAACAATACATGTAAAAAAATATATATATAATAATATAAGTAGAGAATTGGTTAGTACCCTCTTTTCTTTCACCACTTGAACTCCAATAGGAACCATTTCCACGTTGCCTACAAAGGGAATACCCAGCAACGAAGGCATGCAAAATTCAGAATACATATTCTAGTAAAGTAACTAGCTCAAAACCACTAGATCAAATGAGCACATTCTTGCTCATTTTAATATATAAATGAAAAGTTGTTTCTTGTTAAAAAAAAAACACATTCTTGCAGAAGATAAGAATCCACTTGGTCATCATTATATGAAAAACCAGAACTCCAACTGCACACAATAGACATAAAGGGATGTTATTATCTCAAAAGCAGCACTTAAATTGATATGATCCATAAAGCTTGAAAGATAAACAATTGGCCAACAATTTCTTCAATTTTTCCTGTTAAAGTACACCATAGATGTAACAAAAACCAACTAGATGAGAGCAACGAAAGTTTTAACAATACATACATTCCGGAAAAATGG